CGACGGAGGACCGTGGGCCATCGCGGGGACCGTTCGCCCGGAGGGCGTACTGGGCAGATCCGGATGGTCTTCACGCCGGTGGGAGGCACCGAGGCGTCTTGGACGCTCAGCTCTACCTTAAGCTCCTGAGGGGCGCGTGGTTGTAACCACGTAGTATGACTACAACCCACCACAGACACCCTCCCCCACTCCTCACGTGTGTTCACACCCTCACCCGCTCTCCTCTCTCCTCTCTCTCTCTCTCTCTCTCCTCTCTCTCCTCTTGTCTGTGCTGTCTGCCTGACTCAGGCACTCAATCTGCCGATGCGTGATTGTGTGTGGGCTGCTCCGAGGGGGCCCTCTGTGCGATCCGACGGGTAGGGGGGCTGTGCCCGGGCGGTGTCCGGTGTGGAGTCCCCTTCTGATCCCGCCTGGGATGTTGGGTGTGAGGTTGTGGCGGCTTCGATCCCAAGGGGGGGAGCTGATCCCACTCAATAACCAACTCTCAGGGGCAGTAGGTGGGCGAGCTTCAGGCACGCTCATCTCGATCGTCAAGACGTTGCTACGCGCGGTCTTCCGCGGGGGGAGCTGCGTCGACGGGTGCGGGACCGCGGCGCAGCCAGTGCCGTGGCGATGCCTCCGGCTGTTTGCGGCGGGCGGCTTGCTGCTCGCTGCGATGGCGAAAAACTCGTCTCGCCACACGCCAAGGGCTTATGCTCTGGCGAGACGTGAGGCGCATGCGCCCAGGAGGGGAGGGGGCATGTGTAACGACACTGCTAGAGATGCCTTTCGGGGCCCAGAGATAAAACTTCTGTGATGCCATGCGTGACCTAGTAGTGTCCCCAGCTATGGGCGTGTCCACGTTGGAGCCAGGTGTGGTGTGGGCGCGAGAATAGCTCCGCCGTTCATGGAGGCAACCGATGCGAGTCGACTGGTGTGTGTCGTCGTGGTTTCGTATCAAGAATTCTCTCTCTCTCTCTCACAGGAGCGACACACAGAACCACAAGACAAGACACTCAGCCAACGGGGCGGCTGCCACACATCCGGAGCGAACTTCCCTGCTCGAGCGCACGGAGCTAAGTGCCGGTTTCATGCGGGCGAAAAAGAATTCGTGCCGCCGGTGGCGTCCACGGAGCGCGTTCTCGGCTTGTGTTCTCGCAACCACGCGGCGACCAAAGCCAGTTCCGAATGTTTCGCCTCGTTTTCGTCCTCGGCGCGCTCCTGTCCTGTGAGGCGCAGCTCCGCCCGCGCCGCGTGGGCGTCGACCCGCTTGGCGAGTCTGAGCCCGCCGCCGATGCGGCGGGCGGCGACCTCGAGGCCAAGCTCGCCAAGCTCCGCGAGATGGCGGCGGGCGGCGGCGCGGACGCCGACCCGGCGGCGCAGATGGCGATGCTGCAGGAGCTCATGGGGGGCGGGGAGGGGGGCGACACGGCGGAGCTCGGCAAGATGATGGCTGGCGCGGGCAAGGACTTTGCGCAGGCGATGGCCGCCAACATGAAGGAGGCGGCATCGCTGCTCGAGAACCCGGACGCGCTGCAGGAGAAGCTGTCCGAGCTGATGGGAGGCGAGGGCGAGGGCGCGAACCTCATGCAAGAGATGCAGTCCGTCCTGACGGACCCGGACAAGCTGCGCGAGGGCATCGCCGCGATGGCAAACAACCCGATGTTTGCGCAGATGGCGGACGCGGTGCCGGGGCTGAAGCAGGCGTTCGCCGACCCCGAGGCGCTGGAGCAGGGGATCGCCCACGTCACCAACGCCTTCGCGCAGATGCAGGACGAGGAGGGCCAGCTCGACGTCGGCAAGATGGCCGAGATGATGCAGCAGTCGATGGGCGCGATGGGCAGCATGTTTGAAGGGATGGACGCCGAGGGCGTTCAGGAGAAGCTGGCAGAGATGATGGGGGGTGGCGGCCTCGGCGGCCTCGGCGCCGGCTCGCTCGATGATTTTGGCGCGGCCGACAGCGAAAGCGACGAGTTTTGAAGCGGCGATCGCCCGAGCCCTCTTTTTTCTGAACACGTGTGGACTCACCGCCTGACGAACTGTGCTCTGTGGAACTGTGCGAGGCCCCCTAGTGGCGCAAGCGGTGTGGTGTGTTTAGCGTGCTATCGTACCGGAAAATCGCCGAGAGGCCTGTGAAGGGGCGCGTGTCGCGTGGGGGGTCCGAAGGTGGGGTCAGCTCTGCCGACTTGTGCCGCGGTGTGCGCGGGCCCTGCGGCCCATCGAGATCCACCATGGCATGGGCGATGGGGCCCCGGCCAGGAGACATGGATGGGAGGATGGGCCGCCCGGCCTCGGACGCCGGAGCTGGAGCCCATGTGCAATGTTGATCCCCGGGATGACATGATGTCATCCCACGCGGATGATGCCCATCCATATGCCGCGGGGGGTCCTCGCGTCTGCGGAGACCGGACGAGTGCGGTCTGGGCCAGCACTATACCGCTCTCACACGCGCCGCGCGAGTCTAGGGCCCTTTGTTTGCGCTTAGGGGCCTAATAAAGAGAACACAACCCCCTCTCCCTCTTCTCCCAGTAAGCTAAAAGTACGGTACTGAAAACGTAAAAGTCTGCCGTCGACCGAGATAGATAGAGATATACATTTTTCACAGCGGTTTGTGAGGATTGAGCTTTGACGGTTTCCTCGCTTACCTTTTCCGGACCCCGCGCCGCCGCGGCACCGCGCAGCAGCCAGCACACCGGGGACGCACTGATGTATCTCGGATGGTAAGGGGGTGGGCTGGCTGTGATGCGGCCGGGCTGTGCCTGTGCCGTGTGCGCTGCCATACTGCATACACCATGGGGCTGCACCGGTTTTTATTTTTTTACGCCTACGGCAGTACATTTAAATCATTTTCTCTTGCGCCAACGCAAAACCAGAGAAGAGAGATGGTCAGATGTGTTACTTGGGCCAGGTACCAATTTTGTCGAATTTATTTCAAAATCTGCAGGCGCGGAGCGCCTGCGAAAATTTTGAAGAAATTTGCAGTCGGGCCTGATTTTCATCAAGATCTTTCAAATTTGCGGTGTGGAGTTGGGGGGTGGGTTAGGTTAGGGTTATTAGGGTTAGAGGGTTAGGGTTAGGGTTAGGGTTAGGGTTAGGGTCAGGATTAGTCTGGTTGTGTCTGTATATGCCAGCGTTGCAGGGTTCTGCGCTGGGATCTGGCCCCACAGCGCCGACGACTAAGACTCAGCCCCACACGCTGACCTAGGGTTAGGGTTAGGGTTAGGGTTAGGGTTAGGGTTAGGGTTAGGGTTAGTCTTCTTGTGTTTGTATGCCAGCGTTGCAGAGTTCTGCGCTGGGATCTGGCCCCAGCGCCGACGAGTAAGACTCAGCACCGCACGCTGACCCCACCAAATGCCGCCTCAGGGCGCCAGGCCGCCAGCCACTTCTTACACGCGGCCGGCGCCCTCTCGCGGCAAAAGGGTCGAGCGAGCGGGCAGAGTCGCGATGTCTGCGCACCCGCGTGCCGATGGGCGGCACACGCAACCGAGAGAGGCCCTGTCGCGCCGCCAGTAGCGTTCTCCGCACTCCCCACGCCACCAATTGCCGCCTCAGGGCGCCAGCCACCTCCTTACACGCGGCCGGCGCCCTCTCGCGGCAAAAGGGTCGAGCGAGCGGGCAGAGTCGCGCGATGTCTGCGCACCCGCGTGCCGATGGGCGGCACACGCAACCGAGAGAGGCCCTGTCACGCCGCCAGTAGCGTTCCGCACTCCCCACGCCACCAATTGCCGCCTCAGGGCGCCAGCCACCTCCTTACACGATTACACGCGGCCGGCGCCCTCTCGCGGCAAAAGGGTCGAGCGAGCGGGCAGAGTCGCGCGATGTCTGCGCACCCGCGTGCCGATGGGCGGCACACGCAACCGAGAGAGGCCCTGTCACGCCGCCAGTAGCGTTCCGCACTCCCCAGCACGCCACCAATTGCCGCCTCAGGGCGCCAGCCACCTCTTACACGCGGCCGGCGCCCTCTCGCGGCAAAAGGGTCGAGCGAGCGGGCAGAGTCGCGCGATGTCTGCGCACCCGCGTGCCGATGGGCGGCACACGCAACCGAGAGAGGCCCTGTCACGCCGCCAGTAGCGTTCCGCACTCCCCACGCCACCAATTGCCGCCTCAGGGCGCCAGCCACCTCCTTACACGCGGCCGGCGCCCTCTCGCGGCAAAAGGGTCGAGCGAGCGGGCAGAGTCGCGATGTCCCTGCGCACCTGGGTGTTCGCCGCCTATATGCTCTATCCTGTGCCAAGACGGACACATTTTGACAATCAAAATCTACCTCAAAATTTGCGGCCGCCCCTCGAAATTTGCTGATCAAAATTTGCGGTGGCCCGGATCGAAACCTGTACTTTGGCCAATGTGTTACAGCCTGAGGTGTAGCCTGCAGCTAAAGCTCGCCAGCAGCGCTCTAGCGAGGAACTGTCGGTGCGAGACTAGGCCCTCATATCCGACAGAACGCGCTTGTATACTTAGGCCCAGCGCGCCCCTGCCTTCTCCTGTACGCCGACGAGAACCCCCGGCGCGCAGCCCTGCACATCGCCTCGTCCGGCCCAACCCTCTCCGGATCCAAGACCGCACAGCCCCCCCCCCCCCCCTCCCCCCCGCCCCCCCCGCCCCCCCCCCCTCACGGCTTCGGGCCGAAACTCACATGCTGCCTGTTGGAGGCCGCCCTGTCCCCGCCAATGGGCGAAGCCAGCGGGGCTGGGGAGGCGGAGGCGGAGGCGGAGGCGGAGGCGGCGGTGGTCGTTGGCAAGCTGGGCGCACCACCACCGCCCGCCGCCTCGGCCTCCGCCAGGTCGTGCTTCGCGGTGGCGCGGAAAATCAAAAGCCGCTCCTCCGCCCTCACCTGCAGCGCCGTGCCCGCGCACGCCATGAAGACTGAGCCTTGCCGGACCGCATGCACCAGCCCGTCGACGCTGTTAGCGCCACCGCCAAGCTGCGGCTGCTGCCGGACGAGCTCCTCGAGCTTCCCGCGCCTAGAGAGTGCCTCGGGCGTGTCTCGGGCGTGTCTCGGACGCGTCTCGGACGAGCTCCTCGAGCTCCCCGCGCCCCTCCACCACCACCACGATCGAGACGAAGGGCGACGCGGGCAGGAGGACGGCGCCACCCGCCTCCACCATCGCCCGGTCCACGAGGAACTCGGGCACCGGCGCGATGTACCGCTCGGCGCCGCCGTCGATCAGCAGCGGGGGCACCATGTAAGGAGGCCCGTCGTCGTAGGTGAGCATCTCGCAGAGCACCTACGGGAAGGCTCGGGGAAGGTTCGGGGAAGGTTCGGGGAAGGTTCTCACACCGTCGTAGGTGAGCACCTAGACATTTCTGGGAAATGTCAAGGAGATGTCTAGGCCCGTCGTCGCAGGTGAGCATCTCGCAGGGCACGTCCACGTCCTTGAACTTTGGCGTCAGGCCAGCGCGCACCTGAGGAGGGGAGATGCGGGGAGATGCGGGGAGATGCGGGGAGATACAGAGAGATGGGGAGAGATGGGGAGAGATGGGGAGATGTGGGGAGATGTGGGGAGAGATGGGGAGATGTGGGGAGATGTGGGGAGATACGGAGAGACATGGGACATGGGGAGATGTGGGGGGATGTGGGGAGATGTGGGGAGATGTGGCGTCAGGCCGGCGCGCACCACGTTGTCCGACTCGGCCATGCACTCGATGCAGTCGCCGAAGAGGTAGGCGTGCGGCTCGTTGGCGTTGAGGAAGAGCGCCTGTTCACGGCGAGGGTGTGTGTGAAGAGACGCTGTTCACAGGCGGGCGCGCGGCTCGCTTGGCGTGGAGGAAGAGCGCGCCTCGCCGGGCTCGAGCACGAGGTAGTTGAGCAAGTACCTAGACCGTTCCCAGACAGTTCCTAGACAGTTCCTAGACGGCTCGAGCACGAGGTGGTGGAGCAAGTACCTAGACCGTTCCCAGACAGTTCCTAGACAGTTCCTAGACGGCTCGAGCACGAGGTGGTGGAGCAAGTACCTAGACAGTTCCCAGACAGTTCCTAGACAGTTCCTAGACGGCTCGAGCACGAGGTGGTGGAGCAAGTACCTAGACAGTTCCCAGACAGTTCCTAGACAGTTCCTAGACGGCTCGAGCACGAGGTGGTGGAGCAAGTACCTAGACAGTTCCCAGACAGTTCCTAGACAGTTCCTAGACGGCTCGAGCACGAGGTGGTGGAGCAAGTACCTAGACAGTTCCCAGACAGTTCCTAGACAGTTCCTAGACGGCTCGAGCACGAGGTGGTGGAGCAAGTACCTAGACAGTTCCCAGACAGTTCCTAGACAGTTCCTAGACGGCTCGAGCACGAGGTGGTGGAGCAAGTACCTAGACAGTTCCTAGACAGTTCCTAGACAGTTCCTAGACGGCTCGAGCACGAGGTGGTGGAGCAAGTACCTAGACCGTTCCCAGACAGTTCCTAGACAGTTCCTAGACGGCTCGAGCACGAGGTGGTGGAGCAAGTACCTAGACAGTTCCCAGACAGTTCCTAGACAGTTCCTAGACGGCTCGAACACGAGGTGGTGGAGCAAGTACACGCAGAAGACGCCCACGTCGTGCGGGTACTGCTCGTGGATTCGTGCCTAGCCATCGATCTCCCTCGCCTCACCTCGCCCGACCCCGCCCCCCCCCGACCTCGCCCCCTCTCGGCTGGAGCTCGCCGCGAGCTCGTCGACGGGCAGACGCAGCATCGGCGAGGTCGACTCGATCCTAGACATTGCCTAGACATTTCTTAGACACTTCCGGGCAGACGCAGCATCGGCGAGGTCGACTCGATCCGCGTCATCAGCGCGTCGAGCTGCGCCTTGACCAGCGCCTGCTCGCGGGCGCGGCGCGTGATCAGACGCCGTTCACGCCCCCCTCCCCCCCCCCCCCGGGGCAGCCGTGCTCGTGCACACGCGCCTGCTCCGCCGTCATCAGCCGCGTGAAGACCCGCTTCAGCGCCGGCACAACCACCGCCTCCCGCCTAGCTGATGGACATTGGGTTTGAGTGCCGGGGTGGTGGGGTACTGCAGCACAACGGCCGCCTCGCGCCTCGCCGCCGCCTCGGCGGCACTCACTCCCTCCGGGAGCGAGTGGGGCGCCGCGTGCTTCGCCGAGTTGCGCTCTGCGCCAGCCCTCGCCTGTTCACGCCAGTAGGTGTGAAGAGACGCTGTTCACACCACGAGTCGCGCGCTGCGCCAGCCCTCGCCGTCGCGCCCCTCCTGCCCCACCTCGCGGTCGGCCATGCAGGCGTGAGCGGCGCCGCCTTCTCGGCGGCGGCGGAGAGGGCGGCGACAGCCTCCCTCCCGACCACGGCGACCTGTTCACAGCCGGGAGGTGTGAAGAGCTGCCGGGGCGGCGACAGCCTCCCTCCCGACCACGGCGACCAGCTCTGGGCACGCCCTGCAGTTCTCGAGCACGGAGTTGATCTTTTGGAAGGAGCAGAGCGCCTCGAAGGGCGTGACCGCGATGGTCATCTCGGGCTTGTGGTTGTCGTCCTTGTAGTGCTGCGGCTTCTCGCGGTGAAGCTTGGCCGCCAACGTCTTATTTGGGTGCGCCTGGATCGACAGCGCCGTCCGCACCGAGAGAACCTAGGGTTAGGGTTCGGGTTCGGGTTCGGGTTCGGGTTAGGGCTAGCGCCGTCCGCACCGAGAGAACCTTAAACAGGAATGGCAGCCGGGTACTGCTGCCGCCGCCGCCGTCCCCATTCTCGCCGCCGCCGCCGCCGCCGCCGCCGCCGCCGCCGCCGGCCGGGAAGGCGGCGGGCGGGGGCGCCTTGAGCCGCGGCATCTCGCGCATCGCTGGGTTGAGCTTGAGCCAGTCGGAGAGGGGGGTGAGAATGCGCCAAGGCACCTGCAGCATGACCATCGGCTAGGAGGTGTCGAAGAAATGTCTAGGAAATGTCGAGGCACCTGCAGCATGACCATCGACTAGGAGGTGTCTAAGAAATGTCTAGGAAATGTCTCGGCACCTGCAGCATGACCATCGACTAGATGTCTAAGAAATGTCTAGGAAATGTCGAGGCACCTGCAGCATGACCATCGGCTAGGAGGTGTCTAAGAAATGTCTAGGAAATGTCGAGGCACCTGCAGCATGACCATCGACGGGCCCGAGGGGTGGGTGCCCATCCACAGCTCGGCGTACGGCACCTGGAGGAGGCATGCCGTAGACAGCTCCTAGACAGCTCCTAGACGGGTGGGTGCCCATCCACAGCTCGGCGGGCGGCACCTCCACGGTCACGGTCAGGTCGGTGTCGTTGTTCTTTGCGATGGCCGCGACGAGCGAGTCGCACCCAAACTTGCCCCACATGTACTTTTGGACGGTGCAGCGCAGCGGGAAGAGCCGGTTCTGCTGGTTGGGGCGGAGTGGCAGGCGCGGGAAGCCAAACGGGCTGCTCGGCCAGTGCCTAGACATTTCCTTGACATTTCCTAGACATTTCCTAGAAGGGAAGCCGAATGGGCTGCTCGGCCAGCGCCCGTCCGGCGTGGGCGAGCCCGCGTCCGTGTGCCGAGACAGCGCGAGCTGGTCGAGCCCCGTGCCGACCGAGCGGCTCTGCGCCCGGTCAATGCCTGCCAGCGGCATGGGAGGCGAGGCGGTGAAGCCGACGGGGGCGACCTGCTGGTCGCTCAGCGGCGCCGGCCTCGGCAGCCGCGCCGCCGCCTCTGCGTCGGCCGCGCCTCCGACCGGCGGAGTCGGAGGGCGGCTCCGCGGCTGGTGCAGCTGGCCGGCCAGCGGCGGGAGGCGGAAGGTGACGGTCCATTCGACGGCGCCGTCGGCAGCCCGGTCCTGACGGATCCCGACCAGCTTCGCCGCCGCCGGCACGTCGAGCCCCTGCACTTGGTCCGCAAACATCGCCTTCAGCGTGAGCGGATTGCGGAAGGCCGCGACCGCAGCCAAGCGACCTTTGGTGGAGGCCACAGGTCGGCTTTATGCTCAAGCTTTTACCTTGCCTCGCGGCGCGTGTTCACAGCCTTGCTTAGAAATTACGTGGGCGAGGGCGGCATCAAATTACCGCCAGCACACGGCGTGGCTGGCGACTTTTGCGACGTTTGTGCAGTGCTTTACCTGTGCGGATGGCGGCACAACCCGCCGCTCGACGGAAGCGAGGGCGCAGGGACAGCTATCGACCCGCGGCTGGTGGCGCTGTACCTGGCGATGGTGGCGAACAGGCTGGTGCCGTTGGGAGGGTTTGTGTGCGACCACGTGGACGGGACAGCATCGTTTGCAGCGCGGGGGAGGAAGGCCGTGCACACCAAGGGGCGGAGGCAGGGGACAATACCAAACAACTCTAACACTCACACGTCATTTGGGGCCTGGAGCCCCTAATGATGTTTATGGTGGTTTAAAGTTGGGGGGGGGGGGGATAGCTTTGGGCGGTCGAATTCAATTTTGGGGGGTGTGGACGACTTGGGGATCCTGCCGACGCGCTGCAGTTGTAGCCCGACTGCACATAAGATGGACACCGCTCAACGGGAGGGCCCTCGCAGCAGCCGGGGCCGACTCCTGCAGCCTTAGTCTTGGCTCGATCCGGCGGCATGCCACGGGTAGGCGCGTTGAGGCTTGCCGCCTCCTCTGCGCCAACGCGGCTTGTGCTGCAGCTCGCGTTTGCTGCCAGACAAGAGGAGGAGCAGGGCCGTTTGGCGATAGGGCCAGGCAATCGCATTCGCCCGGTGGGCGTTGCGGACTCGAGCAACACCCGGGTCGAGGTTGCTGCGCCTCTTGGCGCAGTGCCGCAGCATCGCACGCTTGTTGCGGGGGATGGAGCATCGACGGCAGCTGGAATCCTGGCTGTTCCGGATGCGGGTCCGGCGGCATTTGCGGCGGTGTCTTTGCAGCTGCGAGTGCAGCGCGGTCAGGCACCGTCGGCCGCCGAATGGCGCACGATGCCGCAACTGCGGGCGGAGTGGTGGCTGTGTCGGCATTGCAACGACGTCGTCAACCACAACTCGGCCACTACCTGCAGCAGATGTGCGTCGAGTGCCCCAGGCGAGACGAGGAGGACGGAGGCGAGGGCAGAGACAGCGCCGCAGTCGGCGGAGGCGACAACGATGGAGAAGGGGAGGGAACGAAAACACGCACAGAGGATGAGGATATAAACTGGGACGACGCAGCGGAAGGGATAGACGAGGGAATCGAGGGACCGGAGGGCTTTCGCGACAGCGACGATGACGACGAAGGCAGGGGAGGAGACGGAGGGGCGACACGCAGGAGGAGCAATATCGCGAACGGCCCGAGCAGAGAGGGCGACGGCGGAGCACGAGGGGGCAACGGAAACGCTACCAATGACGCGAACCGAGGCATGGGCGACGACGGGGACGGGGAGGGCGACAGCGACGTCGAGGTTGACGCAACGGTATCGAGAGCGCCACCCAAAAGGTCGCGGACAGCCATGGAGGTCACCGAATGGAGGGCGAACGGCACGACACGAAAAGGCAGGGCGAGGCGGATGGAGAAAGAAGTGCCGAGGAGGCCATGGTGGAGGGGAGGGACGGGAGGACGAAAGAAGGGCGAGGAGGACGGGCGGCCCGCACAGGCCGCGAGCAGACAGCGCCTGCTGGCCATTTCGAGACATTCGCAAAGAACGCTAGCTACATGGGAGGGCTTCGTGAAGGATGGATTGAAAAACATTCGAACAAAGAAGAGGCGACGGGAGGAACCGGCAGAGGATGCAGTGACGTGACACACACACACACACACACACACACACACACACACACACACACACACACACACACACACACACACACACACACACACACACACACACACACACACACACACACACACACACCGCTCACCCACGCGCACCGGGCCTTGCACTTTGAATGCCGTGGGGCTCCTGTCGTTAGACGTGGAGACGCGAGGGTTGCCCCCCCTTGCCCCACCACCTCGTGTGTGTGGAGAAGTTTACCTTACCTTACCTTACCTGTTCACGCGCGCGCGAGACGTGCAGACAAGGTTTCCAGGTGAGAGCGAATGGCGCGGTTCACGCCTCACACAACAGAGAGAGAGATGCGCTCTGCATGGTGGGACATAAAAGAGAGCGAGTACTTGGGCGAGTAGGCCGTGCGGTCAACGCTGCCGCGCGCGACTTTGCGCGCGAGGCGGCGCAGCTTGAGAACGGCGGTGGGCGAGAAGCCGCCGCCGAACGTCTCGTGGAGCAGCAGGTTGAAGTTGTTACGCTTGACAAAGATCGCGTCGTGGTAGAAACCGCGATGCGCCTTGACGTAGCCGTGGCCGGTCTTGTGGGAGAAGGGTTGGCCGGGCTGCCCGCGCGCCTTGCAGCCCATGTTTAGGCGGCGGGCCTTCTCTTCGGTGTTGTCAAAGGCGTAGGAGTGGCCAACGGAGGCGGGCGTGCCGCCACTCGAGGCGTTGCCAACGCCCGGCGAGGAGGTCTTGCAATACCAAACAACTCTAACACTCACACGTCATTTGGGGCCTGGAGCCCTGTTCACGCGCGCGCGAGACGTGCAGACGGGTTACTTTTGTTTTGTTTGTTTAGTCTGTGAGCTGGACGAGGGCTAGTGGTGCGCCGAGGCGGGTCAAGTGGTGAAGTGCTCCCGCCGAGAGGGATGTCCCCGCGACACGGCTCCCTCGCCCGCGAGGAGGCCGTCGCCGCGAAGCAGCGCCAGACGCTCGACGGCATCAACGGCCGCTTTGCGAGCGGCCACCCTTCGAGTGACCCCGACCGGATGGGACTCTTCGTGCACGTCTGGGACAATACGGAGGACGTGGCGGGGCGGCAGAGCTGGCTGCCCTGCTCGGCGGAGGCGGCGAACCGCGCCGGCGACGATTCGGCCGCCCTCGACCGGTACCGTGAGCCGGGCCGCTGCCTTGCGATGAACCCGCGCGACCGGCTGCCCACCGGGCTGCTCTTCCGCTCAATGCGCCGGCCCGGGCTCGCCTCGGACCTGATCCCGCTGCCGCTCGGCGGCGGGCGGCGCGGCGGCGTCATCCTTCGCCCGCGGCCAGGCGAGGTGCGGTGCGGATTCGGGTGCGGCAGCCGCATGCGGCAGAGGCCGGGCGAAGCGAGCCCTCCAAGCATTGACTCGAGAGTGGCCGAGTGTGGCAGGTACGACGGCTCCACGCGGTGGAGGCCGGACGGGTGCTTCTGCAAGGCCGAGCGGCGAGGGGCGCTGCGGCGGTGGAACGGCGCGCCGTGCGACTTCGCATGCAACGCCTCGGCGGCGGTCGCCGGCGGCGGCGCCTGCTTTGAGAGCGGCGCGGCCTGGCCGCCACGGCACTTCCCGACGCTGCTGCGGGAGCTCAGCCGGCGGAGAGAGGCGGCCGCCGCGGCGCAGCGGCGCACGAGCCGCTGCTACGAGTTTGTGGCGAGTCCGACGGCCGAGGGGCGCGCGATGAAGCGCGGAGTGTGACTTCTTAATCCCGCGTGGCAGGCGAGCTGGCACGAGCGGAGTGTAGAAGTCGTTGGGTCGCTCATGAGTTGGGAGTCACTCATGAGTTGGTCAGTCATCGATGGTTGCTCCTTCCGTGCGGCAGGTGAGCCCGACGGTGTGGAACGGCAGCCTCGCGCGCCGCGAGGCAGAGTGGCACGCGGCGGCGAGTGGCAGCCGAGATGGCAGCCGAGATGCAGCCGAGATGCAGCCGAGATGCAGCCGAGATGCAGCCGAGGTGCAGCCGAGGTGCAGCCGAGGCTCAGTCGCGAGGGGTGGCACGGCGGCGCCTCGCCTCGCGCCCCCTCTCCCGCCCGCGGATTGGCTCACAGCTGGAGCCGTGAACAGGCGCCCTCCCTCGTCGAGGCCTTCTTCCACCCGGCCGGTCCGGCGCCGTGCGGGTGCCCGCAGGCCGCCACCGATCGCGGCGAACCCTCTGCCAACCGCAGCGGCTGTCCGCCTGCAGACTGCGCCGCCGCGGCGGAGCAGGAGCGGCAGGCGAGGCGCCGCTTCCTGCGGAGGTACGGGCTGGGCGAGGCGCGCGCGCCGCTGCTGTGGCTGCACCGGGACCGCTGGTCGGAGCCTTTCTCGCTAGACTCGGACGGCTAGTGGCGCGGGTGGGCCTGGCCTGTCGGTCTTCCGCTTTCGGCACCGAGCCCCGACACGCGCTACGTGGTCAACCCCGCCTGTCGGCCGTCCCCCGCCCGCCGCTTCGATCTCCCCAGGGAGCTCGAGCGCGCCCTCTCTCGCTGCGACAGCCCCGTCGACATCTCTCGCGCCGCGGCCGTCTCGCTGCTCTTTCACTCGCTCGCGGAGCAGGGCATCCGCTTGTGGGCGCAAGAGCGCGGATTCGAGCTGCCGGCGCTGCCAGAGGGCGAGAGCTGCGCCGTGCGGTGGCTGTGCTATTCTGCGCTGCTGCGCGAGTCCAACCCGCAGGCGAGGGCGGCGGCAGGCAATCGGCACAGCGTATTCATTGACGGCGAGGGGCGGCTCTCGTCGTGCGGCAACGCGGATCACGTCCCAGGCCTCCTCAGCCACGGCGAGGGCGTGACGGGGCTCAACACGCCGACGGGCCTTCCTCAGTCGCTGGGTGAGCGCGCCGTGAGCATGTCGGCTGGAAAGTACCACAGCCTGGCCCTTGCTGCTGACGGCTGCGCCTGGAGCTGGGGCGATGGACTCTTTGGCCGATTGGGCCACGGCGACGGGCAGAACCAGCTGCTGCCCAAGAAGGTCGAGGCCTTTGCTGGCCAGCGCGTCGTCGCTGTGTCGGCATCACGCAGCCACAACTTCGCCCTCTCCGCCGACGGCGCCGTCTGGAGCTGGGGCGGTGAAGACTTTGGCAAGTTGGGCCACGGCGAGGACCTGTCGAACCAGCTACTGCCCAAGAAGATCGAAGAGTGGGCACTGGGGCTCTGACAGACTCACTGACACGACTCTCGACTGAGGCGTGAGGGAAGTAGCTTGAGAAGCTTCACTCACTCGCAGGCGTTTATCGTGTTTCGTCGGCAGGTCCCACTCCCAGGTGTGGATCGAATAGAATGGTAGACGCCGATGAGAGAGTAACAGAGACCACCAAAAAAAACGCGATGCGAAAAAAAGGTGGTGTATCCGGGCGTCTCTCGTACGGCTTTACCGCGCGCGCGCCGAGAGAGTCTCACTCTCTCTCAGCCCTTGCGCACGCGATCTCGCTCGTCTCGGGCCTAGCGGGTGCCGCTCACGCGAGACGCATAGACCTCGCTCACGCCACCGCCACCGGCACTGGCCGCCCGAGCGGCCTCTCCGCCGGCGCCCTCTGGCTCCGCGCCCGCGCCCTTTGCCGCGGCCTCGGCCGGACGGCCTGCGTCGCGCACGGCGCAGCCTCGCCGCCGCAGCCGGTCGCCGCCCCGGCCTTCTCGAGCTTCGGCCGCCGCTCCGCGCCCTTCCCTTGTGCCGCTGCCGACCTCGCTGCCGATCTCGCTGCCGGGTTTGCGGCGGTGGCGGCGCCCGCGCGCTGCTGCGGCTTGCCGCCGGCGCGCAGCGGCTTGCCGCCGGCGGCGAGAAGGTTGGTGGTCGAGTACCTGTTCATTAGCTATTTTTTAATGAATGACAAGCGAATGAAGAGCTCGAGGTTGAACGCTGGTGGTCGAGTGCCTGTTTGCAGACGGGCGCGGCGAGACGCGCAGCAGCCCGCCTACGACTCGCAGCAGTGGCCGTGATGGTCTCAACCGGAGTCCGGCTGCTCTCGAGACGCACGCGGCAGCCCGCCGATGAGCGGCGTCAGCCCCGTGGCCAGGCCCGCGTCGGCCGCTGCCGTCTCCGCCTCTGGCGCAACCACCACCGACAGCGCCGGCCTCCTCCCTGCCGCGTCAGCGCCGCAGCAACTCTGGTGCGGAGGGGGACCCGCGACACGCTCGCGCAGCGGGGCGCCGCCTGCGCCGCCAGCGGCGGCGGCGGCGGCGGCGGCGGCGGCGGCGGCGGCGGCGGCGGCCCCACCCGCGCCGGAAGGCACGACGAGGGCGCGCGGATCAGAGGCCTCGCGCAGCACGTCGAGCGCCTAATCTCGGGTGATCTCGGGTGATCTCGGGTGGTCTCGGGTGATCTCGGGTGGACTCGGGTGGACTCGGGTGGACTCGGGTGGACTCGGGTGGACTCGGGTGGACTCGGGTGGCGTCGGCTACTCTCGCGCAGCACGTGCGTCGCGTGCGTCTCGTGCACCGCTCGGCTAATCTCCGTTCATCTCCGCTAATCTCTGCCACTCTCGGCCACTCTCGGCTACGCTCGGCGCACGCCTCGTCCACGGCTCGGCCGAGCGCCTCGCTGTCGGCGAGGAGAGAGGAGACCTGGGCCGCGAGGAGAGGTGCGTGTCAGGACACCTAGGCGCACAGGCGGGGCAGGGAGGGAGAGGGGGCAGGCGAGGGCATAGGTGTCTCGCTAGCTATGGCAAGGAACCGTCTCCGGAGGAAGCTCGAGCAGCATGCCGGTGAGCTTGGGGGCGAGGGTGGAGAGGGAAGGGGCGCCGCTTAGCGTGGCGAGCAGCAGCGTGCCGTGCAGGTGCCGCAGCGCCGGCGACGCGTACGCGCCCACAGCACACTCGGCCGACTGGGGTGCTGCCACGCTCGGCTCTCGAGGCGCCGGCGGCGGCGGTGGCGGCTGCGGCTGCCATGGCGAAGGAGGAGGAGGCTTGTTGGTTCCCTTGCTGTTCTGCCGCTTGGCCGCCGGCAGGCCGCGCGGCGCCGAGGTACAGGTGGCCGACTCTACAGCCGCGCTCGAGCGCTGGGGGAGACGCGGCTTGAGGAATTCTGCCGGAGGCGCAGGAAGTGTGCACGGTTCTGGCCGGGCGCTGAGAAAGCCGGCGCCGCCGTGCGGGCTTGGCTGGGCAGGCCCGTCCAGCGCTCGTTTCTGGCTCGATTTGGGCATGGTCGGTCCCCCTGTCGGGCGAAGTCGGCACAAAAGCAGCCTCCTCCTTGCTTGCAAGTCGAAAAAAAAAACGAAAAAGATTTTGCGGCGGGCACGTCGCGCCGCATGGTGGCCGCGCTGCGCCACCCGCCGCTGGCGCGCGGTTGATCGCGGCGCCGACTCCGCGGCGGCGCCATCTCACGCAGCGGGGCGCGTCGCGTCGTCGGCGCCAAAACAGACGCGAGCTCGCGGCGCGGCCGCGGCAGCAAAAGCATCAACCGTCTACTTCTCCTTCTCCTCTCGTCTTGTCGCAGGCGCACACGCGCGCGACGTGCGCCACGTGTCGCCGCGTTCGCTCCGCGAAGGACGACTCGAACCGGCAGCCAGTCGGCGCAGCGGCGGCGCGCGGCGGCAAAACGCACGACGCTCACCTCATGGAGATACTGCTGCTTTGGCACCTCCTGATATAATGCTGATTTTTTGCTGAGCGGGGCGGAGGCACGCGGGCGGCGGAGGCGGCGGCGGACGACGTCTACTACCTGGCCGTCCCCTGTGGTAGCTTAGCGATCAGGGAGGATCTACCTGTTCGGCCTCGAGGAAGCTGCTGGGGGAGAGGGGGGGAGAGAGGAGAGGAGGAGAGGGGAGAGGATGAGAAGAGGAGAGGAGAGGAGAGGAGAGAGGAGGAGAGAGGAGAGAGGAGGAGGGGGAGAGGAGAGAAGAGAGGGGGGGGTGAGAGGGAGGGAGGGAGGGAGGGAGAGAGGGAGGAGAGAGAGAGAGGAGAGCCTTTGAGCCTTGGCACCAGCCAGGCAGTTGATTTGGCCCTGGCACCAGCCTTGGCAGTTGAGTTGGCCTTGGCACCAGCCTTGGCGGGCGGGCACGCGGGATATGCACAGGCGCCAAGGGGCGCAGCGCCGACAATCACGGCGGTGATTGCGGCGCAGGTGGGGGGACAGGAAGTCCGTCGGCGTTGCCGGGGGCCCAAGGAAGCGCGAGGGAAAAATTCCGCCGCTGAGGGCGCTCGTGCGGCAATAGCCGGGTGGAGGGGGGAGCGTGCCGGACGGGGCGTCGTCGCGCCGTCCGACGGTCTGCTGCCCCGCGCAGCAACCGTCGGGCGACGACCCGGGGGCCAAAAACCCGGCGACGACGGCGCTCTGGATGGGGCGTGACCTCCTGCCTCCAACCTCCTTCCTTTTTGAGCAGGTGTGACGCCGCGCGAGCGACGCTCCGAGATCGCCCGAGATAGCGCGGCGCGGCCCCGAGATCGCCCGAGATAGCGCGAGATCGCCCGAGATCGCGCGGCGCGGCCCGAGATCGCCCGAGATCGCGCGGCGCGGCCCGAGGCGAGGTGGGTGGGTTGGGAGCGAGGGGGCGGAAGTGTTCAGTGCGGTAGATGGCGAGCTCGAGGCGCGTGAGCCGGACCTGTGAGCCGGACCACCCCCTCTTGAACCCTGCGTTGTTGAGCCAGGACTCAACATACTCGGGCTTGCGAGTCCCAAACTGTCACTCCCCTTTCTCCCGGCCGGGGTGGGGCGCGCGCGGGGGCGGCGGGTGTGCGCGGGTGTGAGGGATGTCTGTGAGCCCGAGAGCGATATGCCATGTCCGCCTCGCGTTTGTTTTCGTAACATCGAAGGCTAAGCTCAAAAAAAACGCGGCTGAAGCGACGCTCGCTCGCGTGCCGCCGCGCGGCTCACTTTCGAATCCCCAGATCTCGACAGCCCGCCGGCGCCGCTCCTTCCACACCTCTTACACTGTCGGGACATACAAGCACGTATCTATCACTACGTAGTACTCAGCGCGTGTGCACGCAACCTAGACAAGGTGCGTGATCACCATCACGGACTCACGCACCCTGCACATGCACACCTCTTACACTGTCAGGACATACAGGCACGTCTACTCACTACTCAGCGCGTGTGCACGCAACCTAGACAAGGTGCGTGATCACCATCACGGACTCACGCACCCTGCACATGCACACCTCTTACACTGTCAGGACATACAGGCACGTCTACTCACTACTCAGCGCGTGTGCACGCAACCTAGACAAGGTGCGTGATCACCATCACGGACTCACGCACCCTGCACATGCACACCTCTTACACTGTCAGGACATACAGGCACGTCTACTCACTACTCACTACTCACTACTCGGCAGCGATCCGCTAGCCGCCAGTCGACCTAGGCCGCCGACGGGGAGTGGTCTTCGGCCGAAACGCGGGCGGACCCTCAAGCTCTTCACCGTGTAGGAGGCGGACCCTCACAGAGTCGGCGATGATTTTCTCCAGGGTGTGGAGGAGGGTGTGGAGGGCGTCTCGGGAACCGTGGTTTGGAACTTCACCCCAAAGTGGGGGTTGTCGGCCGTGGAGGAGTGGACGTAATCCACCAACGTGATGGCGTCGAACACCTGCCGACAGGGCGACACAAAATCAGTCTCCGAAGACTGCCTCCTAGTTGCGTCTCTCCCAACTACCTCTCTACCTGCACGCCCAGCGCTGACCGAAGCGCGTCGGCGTACCTACAGTGGCCACGCAGTACTTGGAACGCAGTGAGAACGGAGCCCGAAGTCGAGGCGCACTCACGGGGGCAGCTCGGTGCACTCGAGGAGAATCGCGCGCACGTCCGGGAACCGAGCCACCGCCGCCTTCGCCAGCGCCACGATTCCTGGCTCCACCCGCGCGGTGTCGACCGCCTCTCCCTTTGCGACGGCGTCGAAGCCGTCGACGTCCTCGAGACCGAGGACGTGGAACCGCGCCTGCACCTCCGCCTCTGTCACGTTTGCGAGCGCGAGCATCTCGGCGAACTTTGGCTCAAGCGCCGCGCCGTTGGCCGTGAGCACGAGGAACCTCGCCTGCGCGGCCGGCAGGGAGGGCAGCGTCGGATTACCGACTGCTCTGGCGCCTTCCGGAGCACCGCAGGGCCGGGGCTGGCGAGCTTGGGCTTGGGCTTGGGCGTGGGCTTGGGAGAGCGGAGGCGCGGGCCGCCTCGTCGCCGTAGGCGGTCGCCATCAAGTCGCACTGGATGAGGGCCGAGATAAAGCACGGCAGCTTGGAGACGGAGCGTGCGTCGGCGAGATAGTTCATGAGGAAGCCGCAATCACCCGCAATGCCGACGACGCCAGGCGTCGCTTGAAGCCGCTGGAGAGCTGCCGCCACGTTTTCGCGCTTCTCGCTGCAAAGCGGCCCTCCCTCCTGCGCAACCTCAAACGTCAGGCCCTCGGCCACCTGTGATGGCCGCGTGGGGTGCCTTGGGCGGGCGAGCGTCCGGGTGGAAGGGGGGAGGGGCGACTCGGCGCCTCGTGCGTTGTGCGGTAGCCGTATGACTTTTCGCAAGCGATGTCGCCCAAGGCGGGTGGGTACTCGTAATCGATGCGCAGAATGCCGATGGCGGGAAGCTTCGCGGGGTCGAGGCCGTCGTAAGCGCTGCAGCGCCCCGCCTGCCGCTCGTCAAAGTCGAGGCCGAATCGAGGGTTGTCGGTACTCGCGTGCACAAAGTAGTCCACCAGCGTGAGGGCGTCGAAGACGGGCAGGCCGAGCCTGGCGCGCAGCGCGTCGCTGAACGAAGGCAGCAGCGTCGACTCGAGGATGATGGCCTTTGCATTGCTCTCCTTGGCCTTCCGCTCCACCGTGGTGATGATGGCCTTCCGCTCCACCGTGGTCACCGACTCGTCGACGAGGCCCCATTCGCTAACCTCCTGGTCGGCGACATCGGCGGTCGCGAAACCGCGAATGTGCTGCAGGCCGACGACGATAAAGCGCTTCGCGTCGTCTTGCTCGAGCCCGATCGCGACCTAATCACAATCGCACCACAGATGACGACGCCATGCCCGCCGTTGCGCCGTGGACATCATCTCTGCCGCCAGATTCTGCTCGAGGTCCGCCTGGCTGTAGTCGTTTGTGTCGTTGGTCACAACGATCGCTTTCTCCGTCCTCTGATACATCGTGGCGATGAGCGACGCCTGCACCAGTGGCGACAGCACGACGGCGCGCTCAGCGAGCGCACGGCACCTGCTTCGGAAAGACGGCTGTGGTGAGCTATGGCGGCTAGGATCTCGGCTACGTCTCAGCTGCGTATCAAGCCTTGGTAGTGCACAAAAGATCCGCAATCGCCGGTGATGCAAACGCAACCAGCGGAGTCAAGTTCCTCGACGGCCACTCGTAACGCCTCCTCCTGGGACGCACTCAGAGGCTTCCCAGCGCGCACATGCTGATAGGGCAATCCCTCCACCACAGCGTACACGATGCGGTAGTGGTACTCGGCCCTGTCAGCCGCGCTCACAATCGCCTGCGCGCACTCCCATCGTGCTCCGTCGCAGCGTAGGATCCCGACAACAGGGAGGCCGGCGCAGACTGCTCGGGATTGCTTCGCACTCCGGGACTGCTTCGCCGTGCGCGTGGTCGTTGCGGAGGAGTGCGAGCAGCCCATGTGGGATCTGTGTCTCCTGTGGATGTGGGATCTGAGGGCCGCCGAATTTCGTGTTGTTTCAGGTAACATTCTTCTTTCTTTGCGAGTTCTTGCTTGTTTGTGAGCAGCGCGCTGTGTGTGTGTTGATGCGAGTAGTCTAGCTGCTATGTGAGTACGGAGTATGCCAAAAGGGGCTGCACGCACAGACGTCAAACCCGCCTGACTTTTTAGAGCTTTGAGTAGGCCGCCAATCTCATCTCAGGCCGCCGCTGCCGCTTAGGCCGAGCAAGGCTGCCTGGCGCCGCTTGAGGCGCGAGGCTGCCTGGCGCCGCTTGAGGCGCGAGAACTCTCGACTGATCCACTCGTGGATGCGGACCTGGGTCGTCCTCCTCCGCATAAACGCACACCAATTTAACTTCCCACCCAAAAACAGTCACGTGGATACAAGAAGAGGAGAAAGAAGAGGACGGACATCAGTGATGACGAAACAGAAGCTAGCGCAGACGAGGGCAGGGCAGACCCGGGGACGGCGGAGTCGGAGCAGACGGCATCGGCCGCCGAGGAAACGTTGGGAAGAGGCACGAGGAGGGCGGCGACCTCGACCGACTACGGAGGACCCGTCACCAGACGACGCAGGGCAGACGACGGGGAGGCGGAGCAGACGCGCAGGGCGAGACGAGGGAGGGAGCAGGATGTTGCTGAGATCAGCAGGAGGATGATGGATGTACGACGAGATTAGGAGCAGCAGGGACCCGAGGGACCATGTGGAAGACGGCTAGTGCTAGTCCCCCATCGGGAGGACGACCCCGGCTAGTCGCCGACCACACCCACAAAGAACCCTGCACAAAGACCGCAGGGCGGGGACCTGTTCCTTTTTACCCATCTCCTAGTAGAGGTGTCCGTTTTATTTATTTATTTAGTCACGTGGAGAGCCTTGTGGCTCGGCGCTCGCCGTGCTCGCCGCCGCGCGCTCGAGCATCTCCGTGACCTCGCGCGACAGGACGCCGCAGAACTTCTCCACATCGTGGTCGTTCTTGGTGGGGGTGGGCGAGAAGGGGCGCTCACACTCGACGGACGCGGCCTCGATGCCGAGCAGCCCAAACGCCACCAGGAGGGAGAGCGGGATGGTCGCCCAACGCCAGTCGCACGCATACACGACCGGGATGCCGCAGAGCACGAGCAGCAAGAAGCTGCGGAGATGCACCACGAAGGCGTAGGGCAGCGGCGTGCCCTGGATGCGCTCGCAGCCGCCGAGCGGCTGGCCGAGCCCCTTTGCGCTGTGCAGCAGGCTCGCGTACAGCTGCGCCATCGCAACATTGTCGCGCGCCTACGTGGCAAAACGACGCCATTCACAACCTCCCAAGCATTGCCATTTTACCCATGGCTGGAGGGAGAGGGGAGGGGAGGGAGGGAGGAGAGAGAGAGCGCACGAACCGAGCCAGACAGAAACTGCGAGGCGAGGACCGCCTGCGCGTGCTCGACCATCGCGAGGGGTCGGTGGGCCGCCGAGCTGAGCAACTCCATCGTCGGCGCGTCGAAGATGTTGTAGCACATGCTCTCGAAGAGGTCGGCGCGGCGAGCCGACTGGGCAGGACCCCACACGTGTAGCATGAAGGCTACGGGGAATCCGACCGCGACCTCGCACAGCCGGTCTCGCGTCTCGGCGGAGAAGTCGCCCGGCGCGCTCGCGTGCGCTGCGACGGACGACATGGCGAGGTCGCGGCAGTGGATCATCATCCAGCCGCACAGCTGTCGAGCCTCCCAATGACGCGTTGCGGCGCGGTTGAGGCGGAAGACCAACAGGAAGGAGAGCGCCGTGAGCTGCAGCCGGAATGCGCCCTCCGCATTCGACAGCGCGGAGCACGTCTCGGAATCGGCGTCGAAAAAGTGCATGACGATGGGTGTCCAAGCGATGGTCACGACGGCGACCATGCTGAATGGCGCCCACACGTTGAGCACACCGCGGCCGTCCAGCCTGAATAGATCTGAGGTCCAGGCGCGGATGTCGCTGTCCGTCGCGTAGTCACGCACAGCCTTCTTCGGACGGCCCGCGTTTACGGCGGCGAGCCGCTTTGCGGCGCTCTTGCGGAGCCGCACACGCAACTCCACGGCGGAGTCGCTCTCGGTCGGGACATGTCGCATAACGTTTCCGCAGCGTAGAGGGCCTGGGTTCCGGCTCCTAGCCAGATAGGGGGTCTGTGACCTATGACTCGCACCAAAACGCCCTACCTACCTACCTATTGCGGGCGCCAATCGCCAGGCTCCGTGCCCCACCTACCTACCTATTCCCAGGCCGCGCAGCGAAGCGAAAAAATGCCCGTTAGCCCTCTGTGAATAGGCTCCCAGCGCCCGCCGCGCGCCGGCTTGTACCTCGGTGCGCGCCGCTCGCGAGCCCACCAGAGCATGGCCTACTGGGCTCTCGAGGCGTTGGACGGCTCCAGAACGGCACTCTCTTCCCTCGACAGAGTCTCCCGCGCAGCGAAGCGGTTTTTTTACCCCCCCCCCCCCGCCCGCCCGCCCACCAGCCACCACCACCACCTACCTACCTATTGCGGGGCCCTCTGGGGCGGTCAAAACCGGACCTACCTACCTATTGCATGGGGTCTAACCGTAGGCAACAGACCCCCTATCTGGCTAGGAGCCGGAACCCTGTGTAGCCCTCCTTTTGGTATAAAACGTTTCCGCAGCAGCAGGCAGTTTCGCGTTGCACCACCCGCCGAAGGTTTCGAACAGGTACATCTTTACGTCGGTGTCCGAGAGAGCGCGAGAGGGCGTGCGCGTAGTCCGCCTTCTTGTACGCCACATAGCCGCCGCCGTCGCTCGGCCTGAAGTCGCCCTGAGTTTTATTTCTTTTCTTTGCCTGGAAGTTTCCTCCTCGCCGCTGCCAGCTCGCCGCTCGCCGCCAGCTCGCTGCTCCTCCTCGCATGAAGCAGCACCTCCTTCTCCTTGTCGCCAGCCTCCCATCCGCGCACGGCGCGCTCCTCTCCTCTCGCCGACCGCTCCCATCCTCCTGCCGCGCCGCGGCAGCGCGTGCTCTTCTTGGGTTTGGCGAGGGCTCGTCGCCGCCGCAGACGGTCGACGAGGCGCGCCAGAAGTTTTTCGCGGCGTACGGGAAGCCGTACGTCGCGCCCGACGCGCAGGGCTTCGTCAACGAGCTGCTCGGCAGCTCTCAGATGGCGATCGTCTCGCCATCGTTCCGGTACAACGCCGTCTTTGCGCTGGGCACCGAGGCGCTCTGCGAGACGTTCCTCGCGCAGCGGCCCGAGGCGGAGCGCGTCGCCATTACTGACGCCATCATCACCGCCCTCGGCATGAGCCCGCAGCAGCTCAAGAGCGACGCAGCGGCGCTCCGCGAGACGGCGAAGGCTGCCGGGACAGAGGAGGCGCTCCTCGGCTCGAAGCCGATGCTCGAGATCAAGGCGTACCCGAAGGTCAGTCAGTCAGTCAGTGTTACACACCTCCTAGCATGGAGGACGGGCCCACCCGCACACACACGCTGTACCCGAAGGTGCCGCCGCTCAAGTACTCGTACGCCTTCGGCGCCGGCATGCTCACACTCATGCCCCTCGTCGAAGTCAAGCCGAGCGACGACGCCATCGACCGGTGAGCCAGTTCTTCCGAGTCACCTCCGAGACACCTCTGAGACACCTCTGAGACACAGACCCCTTCCGAGACCCTTCCGAGACCCTTCCGAGACCCTTCCGAGACCCTTCCGAGACCCTTCCGAGACCCTTCCGAGACCCTTCCGAGACCCTTCCGAGACCCTTCCGGCACGCCTGCAACCCGCTGTGATCCACAGCCGCCGCCCGCTGCCTCGGCTCTCGATGTGCTTGTGGAAGGGTGCAGCAGCTGCATGCCCGCCCCGACGGCGAGATCTGCATCT